TGACGGAGGGGCAAGTGTGTTGACTAGTTTAACAAATAGGTCGTTTAAAATAAATAAGTAACATGGTATCAGCAGTTTAGGTAGAGGTAAATCCCGTAAGGTGAGGAGGGACCTAATCTGTCCCTGTTTATTCCTTGAGTTGCTCGACCTGCTCAGCTCAGTGAGAGATTATACTCCAACACCTCTCACTCCTCCCTTGTAAAATCTCATATGTTATACAGCGCCTCCGTCCACACTCCCCTACACCACTACACTACACCACTACACTATACCACTACACTACACCACCACACTACACCAGACATAGATATAGACCCATCAATAACAATCAATATACAATGGTAACCAGGAAATAACACAGGCACCAGATCACCATGCGGGACACCATACACTATAGCGTCCCTCTCCACACCATACACTATAGCGTCCCTCTCCACACCATACACTATAGCGTCCCTCTCCACACCATACACTATAGCGACCCTCTCCACACCATACACTATAGCGTCCCTCTCCACACCATACACTATAGCGTCCCTCTCCACACCATACACTATAGCGTCCTCTCCACAACATACACCTAGCGTCCTCTCCACAATATACACTATAGCGTCCCTCTCCACAACATACACTATAGCGTCCTCTCCACACCATACACACCAGCATGTTCCTTCCACACCATATACTATAGTCCCTCTCCACACCATACACTATAGTCCCTCTCCACACCATACACCATAGTCCCTCACCTCTCCACACACACACTAAAAGCGTCCTCTCCACACCACACACTATATGTCCCTCTCCACACCATACACTATAGCGTCCCTCTCCACACCATACACTATAGTCCCTCTCCACACCATACACCTATAGTCCCTCTCCACACCACACACTATAGCGTCCCTTCCACACCACACACTATAGCGTCCCTTCCACAACATACTATAGCGTCCCTCTCCACAACATACACTATAGCGTCCTCTCTACACCATACACTATAGCGTCCCTCTCCACACCACACTATATAGTCCCTCTCCACACCATACACTATATAGTCCTCTCTCCACACCACACACTATAGCGTCCCTCTCCACACCACACACTATAGCGTCCTCTCTCCACACCACACACTATAGCGTCCCTCTCCCCACACCATACACTATAGCGTCCCTGTCCACACCATACACCAGCGTCCCTGTCCCACCATACACTATAAAGTCCCTCTCCACACCATATACTATGTCCCTCCACACCATACACCATAGTCCCTGTCCACACCATACACCAGCGTCCCTGTCCACACCATACACTATAGCGTCCCTGTCCACACCATACACTAGCGTCCCTGTCCACACCATACACTATAGCGTCCCTGTCCACAACATACACTATAGCGTCCCTCTCCACACCATACACTATAGCGTCCCTCTCCACACCATACACTATAGCGTCCCTCTCCACACCATACACTACAGCGTCCCTCTCCACACCATACACTAGCGTCCCTGTCCACACCGTAAGAGTATCGCTGCCTTGGTTGTACTAAATCCCTCTCTCAGGGCCCCAGGAGTGGTTGACCTGATCCTGGTACTGGGCTAAGCTGTGTCAAGCGTAAACAGAACCAATCTTAAGCCTTCTGAAACCTGGGGAAGTCTTGTCATGTCGTGGTTTATAAACATTACAAGTCGAGGGATATTGACTTGTCTTTTCTATGGGATCTTGCTCATCCCAGATAGGTCCCGAGTCTTTTCTAGGGATCTTGCTCACCCCAGATAGGTTCCGAGTCTTTCCTATGGGATCTTGGTCACCCCAGATAGGTCCCGAGTCTTTTCTATGGGATCTTGCTCACCCCAAATAGGCTCCTCATTCCTTCCCGAACAATATTCCTCACGGCTACCTTTAATGAACACACACACACACACACACACACACACACACACACAGAGTTATATTCTGACCTACCAAATATTACCATTTCTCTATTTCGTTGGCCCAAATGCTATCAGTATAAAAATGTGAAAAAAACGCTGGCCATTGAAATTGTTGGCACATTTGTCATATTAATACTGGAGTCGCCGCTAACCATTTATGCTATTTTGTTACCATATACCGTATATGTTTTTATCTAAAATGCCAGTTACGGACCTCCCTGAAATTCATAGAGTGAATTGTTATATCAAAATAATTGCCTGAACCAATTTCGGTGTGTGTGTGTGTGTGTGTGTGTGTGTGTGTGTGTGTGTGTGTGCTTGTAATGTATTAATATTTGTGTTTGTTTTCTGGTGTTAAAAGTGAGTTTATACGTCTGTTAAAAATGTTAAATTCGTAATGAATTTAACGAAGAGGGAGACACAGGTACTGATATATAGATAGTTTACCTGTTGTTATTATTATTATTATTATTATTGGTAAGGCAAGTTACAGTATTAGTATATATAGTAAACTCTTAAGACAATCATGGCTACGATTTTAAAGTAAATTACGTGAAATTTCCCTCATCCACGGAAAAGTAACAACGCCTCTGATTGGCTGATTTAAGATGTATAGTATAAGCTCCACATGACGTCACTATTACAAGATTATTACAACTTATGGACAAAATATACCTGATTTGTGTTTTTTGTTTACGTATTTGTTGTTATTATGCTCGATGAGATCCCAGGAGGAGGAGGAGGAGGAGGCTCAACGGGGTACTCTACCTCCCTGTCATCAAGAGGTATTGAAGACCCGGTCACCCCTACGTCAGCTCATCCGTCATAATACGTCATCAGTCACGTGGCGCCTCTCAGCCAATCACGATACAGTTTCAAGTGCCTGCCAGATGAGTGGTTGGAAGCTCTCGTTTCGATTTTGTTTAATATGTGTAAAGAGGTTTGGATTCTGTGTTGAGTGTTTAAGTGTCGCTGGGATCAATATTGTGGTCGCTTATCAAACTAATCCTTACATTTATTGTTTTTTTATGAAGTGATAAATGAAAATGTATTATGATATTTACTGTTATGGATCACGTGAAGATTAGACATCCTAGTTTATAATGACCTGATGATTAAACACCTATCGCTACCTTGGGGGGGGGGGTGGGGTTAGGTCAGGTAATATTAGGGTGGTTAATCAACAGGTGAAATAAACAAGGGTGTCTAATCTTCATGTGATCCATAACAGATATAAGTGTGCTGAGACCTTACACCACGAAGGACGTTGCTATGTACTGTCGTAACCTCACGCCAAAAGGTCACATTTTCTGCTCTGACAACCACCGGGAATGGGAATGGGAATATTTTTGGAATTTTCCTCCCAGCCAGTCTTTCATTCTCACATATTAATCTCCCCATCATTTAGCTACCTCCCCACCCTGTCCCCATCATCCAAAGTCCTCCCCATCTCCCCAACCTGTCTTCATTAATCTTCCCCCTTCCTCCCCTCCCCTCCCTCTTCCTTTTCCCTTCCCCTTTTCCCCCTTTACGCTTCCTTCTCCTTCCTCCACTACCCTCCTTCCCCTACCCTTCTTCATCCTCCCTTTCTGCTCCATACACTACCTTCCCCTCCCCCTACCCTTCCCCTCATCTCCCTGTAGTTTTTCCTTTTCCTCCCCATCTCACCCCTCCCCCCACACCTCCCTCCTCCCCTCCCACTCCCCTTTGCTTTGTCAGCTGGCTGGGTTACGCCCCTATACAACTCCCTCCCCCCCTCTCTCTCCCTCTCTCCCTCCCTCTCCCCGGTCTGCCTCCCACTCCAGCCTAGATTAGGGAGTTCACATGATTTCTCCCACACAATGTCTCTCAAGCCAACGTCATCCCTCTACTCCCTCAGTCACTCCACGTCAACTTCTCTCTATTTGCTCTACACTCCTAATCTTGGGATAACTTTCTCACCGTGTCGTCACCCCTCTCGTAGCCTGTAATCTCCCCAGTAGCAGATGGTGTAAGTCAAGTCTCTCCTAAGATAGTAGCTCTCTCTCTCGGGCGTGGTGGTGAAGAGTGTCCTCCCAGATCATTACTCTCAAAGCCAGTGTGTCTTACCAAACCAGTAGCTTGTTTGTACCTTAATCTCAGCTCTAGAGGGTGTCACCCCAAGCCAAGCATCCCACGTATCCCTAATCTCACCAGTTAGTAGTCTAACCTGCTAGTGATGGTACTAGTTAACCTTCCCAAGTTTGCCTCCCCATTCTAGCCTCCGTGAGCTAGCTTCCTCCCCTCTCCCCCAGGCATGAGGGTAGAGGGTGTCGGCCCTCCCTGTGGACCACTCGAGTCACCGCTGTCGACGATATCCACGCTCGATTGTACGCGATTTGAACGCTTCAATTAGCGCACATCTGTAGCCAAAGCCACGGGCAAATGTAGCTGAAGTTGCCTTCCTGTGTATCACCCGGAAAATTTATTTTTGTGGTGATGAAGGATCGACCTAAATGGTGCGTCGCCCCAGGGAGTGTGATTGTGGCCTGATAGACGCTGCCCCTTCTGTCAACAGTCCCCACAACCTGGTGCTCTTTCTGTCAACAGTCCCCATAACCTGGTGCTCCTTCTGTCAACAGTCCCCATAACCTGGTGCTCCTTCTGTCAACAGTCCCCACAACCTGGTGCTCCTTCTGTCAACAGTCCCCATAACCTGGTGCTCCTTCTGTCAACAGTCCCCACAACCTGGTGCTCCTTCTGTCAACAGTCCCCACAACCTGGTGCTCCTTCTGTCAACAGTCCCCACAACCTGGTGCTCCTTGTGTCACAGTCTCCATAACCTGGTGCTCCATGTGACACAGTCCCCACAACCTTGTGCTCCATGTGACACAGTCCCCACAACCTTGTGCTCCATGTGACACGGTCCCCACAACCTGGTGCTCCATGTGACACAGTCCCCACAACCTTGTGCTCCATGTGACACAGTCCCCACAACCCCATGACACAGTCCCCACAACCTGGTGCTCCATGTACACAGTCCCCACAACCCAGGCTCCAAGTCTCCCCACAACCTGAATGTGACACAGTCCCCCAACCTTGTGCTCCATGTGGTCCCCACCCTGTGTCCATGTGACACAGTCCCCACAACCTGGTGCTCCATGTAAGCGCCCATGTGACACAGTCCCCACAACATGTGTCCCCACAACCTGGTGCTCCATGTACAGTCCCCACAACCCAGTCCATGTAACCCCACAACCTGGCTCCATGTGACACAGTCCCCACAACCTGGTGCTCCATGTGACACAGTCCCCACAACCTGGTGCCCATGTGACACAGTCCCCACAACCAGGCTCCATGACACAGTCCCCACAACCCAGGCCCATGTGACACAGTCCCCACAACCCCCCATGTGACACAGTCCCCACAACCTGGTGCTCCATGTGACACAGTCCCCACAACCTGGTGTCCATGTAACACAGTCCCCACAACCCAGCCCATGACACAGTCCCCATAACCTTGTGCTCCATGTGTCACAGTCCCCACAACCTGTGCTCCATGTACACAGTCCCCAACCTGGTGCCCATGTGACAGTCCCACAACCACTCCATGTGTCCCCACAACCTGCCCATGTGACACAGTCCCACAACCTGGTGCTCCATGTAATACAGTCCCTACAACCTTGTGCTCCATGTGTCACAGTCCCCACAACCTGGTGCTCCATGTAATACAGTCCCCACAACCTGGTGCTCCATGTGACGCAGTCCCCACAACCTGGTGCTCCATGTGACACAGTCCCCACAACCTTGTGCTCCATGTGACACAGTCCCCACAACCTGGTGCTCCATGTGACACAGTCCCCACAACCTTGTGCTCCATGTGACACAGTCCCCACAACCTGGTGCTCCATCAATCGCAGTTCCTACTACTTGGTACTCCTCTTCACAGCCCCTATGATGTCTTCACTGTTGGCAGTGTCTCTGGCACTTCTGGTGTATACTAGTTAGTTACTTCTTCCGTGTCTTAGTCAATCTCCCCTTCTACGGTAGTGTCTTCCTCATTTATGCTTCTTTTAGGTCCACAGTTCTCATTAATAGCTCCTTGTTACACCTCCCTGTTGGTCACTTTCTCCTCTCTTGCATCTCCGTCGATATTTGCTGTTCATGTGACCCCCCGCCTTCCTCCCTGTTAGTTCTCTGTCCGTTGTATCCCTCTGTATTAACTCCATATCACAGCACCCTTTGTTATTGCCCCTTGTAACAGCACCATTGTCACAACATTCTTTGTCACATCCTCTGTCACAACCTCCGTGGCAGCCCACTGTTGCAGTCCCTTGTCACAGTTCCCTTGTGATGGCCCCCTTGAAAAGCCCTCCCGTTACTGTTGTTGTGACGACTTTAGCATTATTTGCTCAGCATCACCATCACCAACTCACTCGCTGTGTCTTTGTTGGCGTGTTTTCCCATCAGCTCATGTACCCTACACCAGTTCTGTCTTCTTGTTTCCTCCCACAAAGCCTTTATACGTCTAATCCGCCTACAGGAGTGTCCCTGACGGAGACCCCGCCCTCAGGCCCCGACGCACCGCCTTTCTCCCACAGCCCCGCGCCGGACATCACCTCGTATCTCTTCATCTCTTCGCCCAATAACCACCGGAAATCCCTCCTTGTCCTCAATGGGTCCTATTCAGCCATTATGAGCGTTTTTACCTATCAATGTCCATGACCACACCCGGGTAAGCGATCCTTCCCCTTCAACGGCTAATGTTCACGGTCCCAGGAGTTGGCCTGCGGTATTCCCTCCCTACACCAGAACTACTCGGGGTCTTGTAGGCTACTCCTGCCTCATATATTCCTTAAGTACACCTGACCCAGGCTGACCTAATCCAAAGATATCCCGAAAACCGAAATATTCCCAATAAATTTCTGCTGATCCTAACCCTGTGGTACTCCAACATCCAGGGAGCCCAACGCTGATGTGTCCCATCCTTGAATCATCACCACCCTGAGGTACCTCAACTGTAATGTACCCCCAATCTTAGGTACCCTTATTCCATGGTACCAGTACTCTGAGGTAGGCTCCATCACCAGCGACTTGATACGGGTAGTGATATAACATTGTGTGCTTAAGTCATTTGACAAAGAGGTCATGATATTCTACTTTGATTTAAAGAAGTTGGTGATTTTTTCAGTACTCTTACTTGAGGAACTTCACCTGGCATGTTTGGTACTGTTGGCGTCTGGATGAATTATTGAGGATCTCCTTTACTGACTACGGCCAACGTTGAAATGGTTATATATTTTTTAATAATCTTTATACCAAAAGTACACTTCGTTATTATATGCAAAGACAAAGAATTAATTGATTATCGTTTTGTTGTAGGAGGCGTCGTCAGTACTCCACGAGGAACACATTTTCTGCCAATTTTAAGCATGTCCCGAAGACGACATTAGTGTTGGTTGTGCTTGTTTACACCGGGGTCAAGTGTGTTACTCCTACTGTTGTACGCTGCCACACAGTGATATACGCTGCCACACACTGTTGTACGCTGCCACACACTGTTGTACGCTGCCACACACTGTTGTACGCTGCCACACAGTGATATACGCTGCCACACACTGTTGTACGCTGCCACACACTGTTGTACGCTGCCACACACTGTTGTACGCTGCCACACACTGTTGTACGCTGCCACACAGTGATATACGCTGCCACACACTGTTGTACGCTGCCACACAGTGATATACGCTGCCACACACTGTTGTACGTTGCCACACACTGATATACGCTGCCACACACTGTTGTACGCTGCCACACACGTTGAGTATTTTTAGTGGAGTCGAGGATCTTTTAACTTGCTAATTGTGTTTTACCTTGTGATGAATGATCGGTTTTTTAGGTTTATTCTTAACTCTTGGGATTCACTTGAGGTTCTCCATCGTTCACAGGGGATTTTTTTTTGTTTAGTTTAAAGGTGAATCGTCCATTGATACTTTTAATTCCTTATCCCCTGTAATACACACAACAGTACGTCCCTTGGATGTTGTAAAGACGCACACATCAATCAAACATCAATCAACATCAATCAACGTCACTCAGTTATTGTTGTGTTGAAGTTTATTTTTGGAAGGGTTTGTTCTCTTAGTACACTTAGTTACTGTGTTGGGTAGTCTGGTTTGGGAGTTAGGCTGTGTTAAAGGACCATATCAGTTCATAGTTGGCACGGCACTGCTTTCGAAACGTTGGGTGTGAGAGAGAGAGAGAGAGAGAGAGAGAGAGAGATTGTGTGTTCCCTGTGATAGCTTTGTTGTTGCAGCTATAACCCAAACAGCTATATACCTCATTGCATGGTATCTTGTTATTGCTGCAATTACAAAACTCGTTACATCCATGTTTGTATCCAGACTTTACCAAATAAATTATTACTTCCGGGGCGGAGGTGGATTCAAACAGGGGCGGAGGTGGATTCAAACATCGAACTAGAGCATGGAGGTTCCGGCCCCACACAGCTACAGGAGACGTGAGCCATGGCTGAGTGTCCCCAGTCTTCTCCAAATCATTATTATGACCTTCGAGTTTGAAAAAATAACAAACCTGCACTCGGATAAAGACTCTACCTCAGCTACACGATTTGAGAACGACGAAACTCCTTGGTGTAGAATTTAGACCTGCATAACATACAGTCACCGTTCTAACTGGAAACATTGCTGGGGATAGGTCGTTGTTTCCCAGATGATAATAATACTTCCAGTTCTTAGTTCTGACGGGAAATTTAGCAGCAGACGCATCAGATCTTCTAAAGCACGGAAGTCTAACGTTACTGATGTGCATAATTGTAATAAACGGATGATATAGGTTGTACTGATACGTGTCTTCAACTTCTCTTTCCCTGTGAGAAAAACTTGTACGAACTGGTTGGGTTATAGACAGGTGATTCATCCGTAGATGTTTAACACCCAGTAAAAAATTATGTTTGCTTGTATTTACTATATTATTGTTCTTTAATACGAGACTTAAGTTAAAGTATTTGTGTTTAAACTGAATATTATTTTGGGTCTAATACACAGAGATATTAACTCTACGAAGGTCTGAATTAACTCTCTCTCTTAAGTTATGATATCCGTAACCTAACCTAACCTTTTCACTGTTGTCTCACGGAGTTAAGATATTCCACTTCTTTTATACCTGCCTGGTCGTCTTAAGGTAAAGGACTATGGGGGTTAACTGCCTCTGTTCCCTTCACCCATGTTGATTAGGTAAGTAATTCCTATATAAACACAGCGGTACATACATACATACATACATGACTACACACATGGAACCAACACAACACATGGAGTCACCCAACCGTGTGTGTGTGTGTGTGTGTGTGTGTGTTCCTATTCTACCATCACCATCTTGTTCGGCGTCCCCTCCCTCCCTCCCACCCTCCCCCTCCCTCCCTCCCACCCTCCCTCTCCCCCCTCTCTCCCTTTCTCTCTCTCTCTCTCTGTATTCTCTCCTCCCCCTTTCCCACATTTCTCTCACCCATTTATTCCTTCATCCTCTCTCCACCTCTATAAACACTGCACATTTTCTTCACCTTCCTTTTCCATTTACTTCTTCCTTCCTTTATCCTTTTTTCCCCTTTCCTTTCTCCCTCTTTCTCTCCCTCTCTCACTTGTTCCTCTTCCATCCCTCACCCCCAATTCCTTTCTTTCCTCCCCCCACTCCTTGTTTCTTTCCTCCTTTATTTATTTCTTTTCTTCATCCCTCCCTCATTCTTGATGTTCTCATCGTCTTCTTCTTACTACCATTCCTTCTACGCCCTCCTTCTCTATCCTCCATACCCTCTCTTCTCTACCCCACTCCCTTACTCTCCTCCACTTTTGCCTTCCCTACTCTCTTTCTCTTCCCTTCCTTTCCCTTTTTCCTCCCTTAACCTCCTTATCTTTCCCCACCCCTCATCCAATGCCTCCCTCTACCCTGTTTGCCTCCCTACCCCCTCTCCCCCACCCCCTCCCCCCTCCTCCCCACTCCCCCCCACCCCCACCCCCCTACCCCTACCCCCCCCACCTCCAGACAGTATACGTAAACAAGTCACTAACAATGAGCGCTGAACACAGAGGACTCAGCATGCATATACCCCTTATTTACCGCCCGTCCGCCCACAGACCTGCCTAGGGCCCACCAGAGACCCCCCAGGGGACTTTACAGACCTGTCTAGAACCCCTCGGGACTGCCTAGGACCTCCCAGGACCCTACAGACGCCCACAGCCACTCCCCCTGTATCCTCCAGACACATAGATCCCTCCAGCACCCCCAGGATCACACCGACGCCCCTGGACCCCCTCAGACACACCCCAGGACCCCACAGGACCCTCAGCACCCCCTCCACTCAGGATCACACCAACGCCCCTGGGACCCTCAGACACATCCCAGGACCCCACAGGATCCCCCAGCACCCCCTTTGGTTCCCATCGACGCCCCAGGACCCCTCAGACACACCCTCAGGAGCCACCCGGGACCAGCCTGTATTTACAACCAGGTAATTAAGGGTGAAATCGTGACACAGGTAAACCAGCAGGCCGTGGCGCTGTGTACATATCTCCTTATGGCTCTATGGGGTCGTGGGAGCCCTCTGCAACTTGCGCAACGGGGGTTTTTGTGGGGAGCATTGTGGAGGGGAGGGTATGAAGGCCTGGGGTGAAGCATTGGGGAGTTTGGAGGTTAGTTGGGGGCCTGTGGGAAAGTAACTGGGGAGTAGGGGGATGTGTGTGTCTTGGGGTGAAGGATCGGGGAGTTTGGGGAAAGTTTACGACCTGGGATGAAGTATTTGGGGGAGTTTGTGGTACGTTTGTGATCTAGGGTGAAGTAAATGGTAAGTTAACGTTGGTATTTGGGATATTTAGGGAAGTTTTTAGGGAGTTTGGGGAAGTTTGGTACCTGGGGGTGAAGTATTTTTGGGACACGTATCGTATTTTTTTATAACCTTACAAAATCTAATCTAACCTAACCTAATCCCACTCGTCGCAACCTAATCAAACTGTGAAGATCTTAAGATACTTGGTGGGATTTTTGTCGAGTAGTAAATACTGTGGTGGGATTTTGTCCAATTAAAAAGTTGTCTACTGAGATTTTGTCCTAGCTCCTCTGGCCAACCCGTCTAAATGAGTGAAAATAACGAAGATGTTTTGTTTGTAAACATCGCTCAGACAGCCCTCAGACTCGCCCCTAACTCCCGACAGTGGTGTGACCTGACGTTACAACAACATTGGTCGCTCATGAACTAATACAACAGTCTAATAACATTATTTTGTGTTGGAAGTTTAAGACAAGGAAGAGTATTATGAATTGCATATAGGTGGGTTTATGATGTCTTACTGTGTCGTATGCTCACAACACTGGTTTACTGAGAAGTCACACTGTTAAATTTAGGTAAAATTCAGATATTTATTTTGAGTGTCAATATACAGTAGGTAAAGATTTAAGTATCAAGTAAAGGTACAGGTATAGTTATAAGGTACAGGTAAACTCAGGTATAAAGTGCAGGTACAGTATAAGGTACAGGTAAACTCAGGTATAAAGTGCAGGTACAGTATAAGGTACAGGTAAACTCAGGTATAAAGTGCAGGTACAGTATAAGGTACAGGTAAACTCAGGTATAAAGTGCAGGTACAGTATAAGGTACAGGTAAACTCAGGTATAAAGTGCAGGTACTGTAGCTTTCTCCTTAAGGTTACAGCAAGTCATGTACTGTAGACACTGTAATGGACTTTCCCTCCTCCATGGTTACCTGGGACACAAAGTACACTCACAGCTATAAGTTAACACCTTCACTACTGGGATGTAAATTTTAATATTTTATTTGTGTAACGTCAAGCGATTTTATTCAGCTGAGAGGCGGCCTCGTACACAGGGAGTTAGTAGACTATCACCACCTCTTCATAAGCCTGACTCTACTTCCAAGTCGAGATATTGTGTCAGCTTACCACACAGCAACATGGGTCAAGTAGTTTGCTGTTTTCTGGGGGTAAACTTGAAGTAAGTGTTGAAGTTTTTGAGGTAAATTTGAGCAAATGTTGAAGTTTTTGAGGTAAATTTGAGCAAATGTTGAAGTTTTTGAGGTAAATTTGAGCAAATGTTGAAGTTTTTGAGGTAAACTTGAAGCAAATGTTGAAAATCAGAAGGGTAGATTTATGGAACAGTTGAGGTGAGTGTAAAGTTGTGTCACCATTGGGACGGTCACCTAAGTGTATTGTTGTCACCAGTCAACACTCGTCCACCGCCAGTTAACCACACCTGACTTGTGTCACTTAAGTGAGACCTAAGCGGCCAGAGTGATGTGGTGCTGGTCGCCTCTGTCACCTGGTGTCCGTAAGGCCAACTTGGGGTCTCATTTGCATGCAAGAATCATCTAGGAGTCTCGGCCACCGGTGCTGGGTGAGACGGCGGAGGAGTTGCGTGCAAACAGTTTATTATGATTGTAACCAGACACGGTAAATCCCCAAGATAAATACAGAATCAGTGAAAGAGCAACAACGCTTGGCTGACGATTGCGAAAGGCAAGAGTAAAAAGGAGACAACCCTCCCTCGGCGGCCCTGTTGTGGTGCACAATAAATTCTTTGTGTGGCCAGTTTCCTTGCTGGGGTTGGCACCTGGCTGTGTCGGGGGGAGCCACAGGGAGCCTAACGGGGGGAGCAACCAACCCCCGTGGGCCCCCAGCAAGTTGACGTGGCGTAAAATGCGTTCTTTATATTTGTTCACGTCGTCAGGGCCGCGCCGCCATCACAGCCCAGTCCGCTCTGCCCGCCCCACCTGTCGCGCGTCCCAACCCCTGCCTCATGTACGCTGACCCTGGCTTGACCACCACTCACAGCCACTCTACGTCCCCTCAGGTACCCCTTCACCCTATGATTAATTAGTGTAACCAATGTTTACTGTGACTATAATGGGTAATGTTAACTGTGACATAATAAGGTAGCAGTGATGGACGCCTCGTGGTAACTGGTGAAGGGATTCGCACGGTTGTTTCCTCGGGTTCCTCCGGGTATCCTTCAAGAGGGATGGGACGCGCTGCCGACGACCCTATTACCTCCACCTAGGGTAAAACAGGCGTCCCTTACGTCCTGCAGTCACCTAGGACATGCCCTTCATGCTCTCACCCAGTGATCTATTCTCATAATTAGGCAAACCACATGATTTTGACAATGGTCCACAGCATGTGATGGGAAGGTGTAGTAGTGGACCCATTTGCATGATCCACGCCACCGCCCTCCCACAAACCACTAACGGACAAATAATGACAAAAAAATCATGCAGTTGTAAGGATCTTGAATGGTCAGTCATATCAAGACGTGTCAGCTCCTCAGTCATAAGTTCCAACCTATGAGACGTCCCCTTCGCTCTCCTCCGCCGCCACACTCCCAAGTTTTCCTCATCCTAAGAAATAAAAACCTGAACTAAATCCAGTGAAAATATTGACTGGCTTCCATGCCCCCCTCCCTCCCCGTCTTGGCTAGTTACATTGAGGTAAGTTTTTGATACCAGCGGTACTCCACAACCCCTCATACCATGGCTCATACCACTACCCTTGTCCGGGACGCATTCCTCAGCTCAGGTACCTCAAAAAAAAAAATGAAGATCAATCGACATTTTGCGAGCTTACTGAGGGCTCTTATATATTCACTCTGACAACTGTGTACTAATGTTAGTTCACTAAAGTATTTGTTGTGTATATAACCAATGAACTCCAACCTAAAGTTATGAAAATTTTTGAGTGCACGAGAGAACTTCCTCATGTTCACTTTAGTTCACTTCATTTTGTTAGATTATAAACAGTACTCGTGTTGTTAAACTTACAGATGCTATAACGATGATTGTACACACACACACACACACACACACACACACACACACACACACACACACGTACACAGTCCTACTACAAAGGCTGTTTATAGTTCCTAGAGTGATTGCCCCTAACCTAACCTAACAGACTAACAGCTTTACGTTATTATACTCAATTTTCACCCGTTTATGCCTGTTCAGTCAGCACCTATTGACCGCCTTTACTGACCTGACTGATAACATCTTAATTTAACGTAACCGGTAATTAATTCTTAGTCACTCAATTATATTTCACCGTTTTGTGTTTGGAGGTTGGTGACATAAACAAGGATGGATAGATAGATAGATAGATAGACAGACAGACAGACAGACAGACAGAGAGACAGACAGACAGACAGACAGACAGACAGACACAGCATGTAATTAAAACTCATAGACAGAATATATATATATATCAACTCGGAACCTTAATTAAAAAAATATTATGCAGGTATGTTAATAATGACACTCCAGGTATAATAAAGTTGTGATAAATGTGTATGTGTCTCTGTCCCTTTTGTGTACAGTATAATGTGTGCTGATTATGTACACTGTGCTGTGATTATGTACACTGTGCTGAATAATGTTTAGGTTTTGTTAGTGTTGAAATTTTTTTTGTATCTCGTAACTATTGTCTGTAGCCACACTTGAAGTCTTACCTGTACTTGTGATTCTACAGGTGTGTACTCTTAATTTTTTCTGTAATTTTGCGTGGGTTTGTATATATATAGGTATCTGTACTCAAACATCGACCTGTAATTGTAGTTAGTACCTGTGGCCTCTTGCGTGTATTTGGACCTTAACCTGTACTCAAATATATACCTGTAGTTTTACCTGTATCGCTAATGTATACCTGTACCTGTGTTTTACCTGTACTCAAATGTATACCTGTACCTGTGTTTACCTGTACTCAAATGTATACCTGTAGTTTCACCTGCATCACTAATGTATACCTGTACCTGTGTTTTACCTGTACCTGTAATTTTACCTGTATCGCTAATACTATGTCTAAACACAGTGGCATATCATACCATCGAGTGTTGGCTGGACATTAAGATTAGGTCTATGGGGTCAGTCACTGAATATACCTTTCATTATTAACTATACTCCTAACTAGCCCTTAATACAGTCCTTTCAGCTTAATATTAACATTGATGATGATGATGATGATGATGATGATGATGATGATGATGATATTTTGCAGTTTACTTACGATGATTAGGGACACTTTATTTTTGTTTTAATTTTCACCACTTATCAACGTACAATAAACTAAGTTGTGGGTGGGTGAGTGAGTGAGTACAGTACACCAATGGGTCTCTCTAAGTACAATACTCTAGGCACATTACACAAGCCATTACAGTACATGTAGAGATCAGAGTGGTGAAAACTGTAGTAATAAGAACATCTCATTAAAATTCTCTAAAATCGCGCGCGGGAGGTGGGGGTGAGAGTTATTGGTATGTAGTAGTAAGTAGTAGTAGTAGTAGTAGTAGTAGTAGTAGTAGTAGTAGTAGTAGTGGTAAGCAGCAGAAGCAGAATGAGTAATGTAAAGCAGGAGGGATAGTAGCAGTAAGAAAAAGTAGCAATATTGGAAATAGTAGTAGTATCAGAAGCAGTGTCGTAGTAGTAGTAGTAGTAGTAATAAGGTGATGGAT